TGTGTGTGTGTGTTGGTGAGATACTCTCATTTCCTTGGTTCTATAAAGAACTGAAAAATAACTTATCGAGAAACAACTGACTTTGTGGCATTATCCTTATACTTTTCGTTCGCGAATCAATATTTGTTAGGTAAGGGTTTTCATTTCCAATAGTGTTGGTGCTTAGATACAAGTTATCTTTATGTCACACTCTTATCAAACCTCATTTACTTTCCAGGACTTGGTGTATTTACATATAGGTGAGGTTTGCATCATTTGGTATTAGTGCTTGGCTCCATTAATCAGGTTATATCCTTTTGAAATCTTTGTTTCTTATTATTTTCACAAAAACACCTTAGTGTCCAATTTCTTCTTCTTCTTAAATTTATGACATATAAAAAAATTATTATTTCATTTTTTTATTGTCCAAAATATATCAGTAGCATAAAAAAAAAGGAAAGAAAAGACTAATTGTTCAAAAAGACATTTGTTGGGTTCTACCGTAAAAAACTAAACAAGGGAAAATTGGATCAAATCAATTTGAAATTAGCTCAAATTTGATTCTCTAATTATTGGGGTCCTAATCACACTATATTAATTTTAGGGTCAATTGGATATCTTTTTCTTTTGTTTTCAATTTCGGGTCTAATCAGATCTAATTCATAATGTTTTTGTATTAGTATATCAAACCTTATCGTAAATTACTCAAACTTTATATTCTGTCTTTTGGGTTAAAATCGCACTATATTTTAAATTTTAGCTCAATTGGACATCATTTATTTTAGGTTTCATATTCATACTTAACTTGTCGTAAACGAGTCTGTTTTGCGTCAACTTTTAAAATTCACTTTCTTTCTATTGCTTTCACTTCTTGCAATATATTTTTAACATATCTACCATATTTAGGTGTTGTTTCATCATTTTTCATATTTCATTTATGTTTTTATTCGAGTTTTCAATTTTGTTCATATTTCAAATAGATTCACTTGCTACTTGCGAGACTATCATCGCAGTTTTATTTTGCTTGGTTTTTGGTTTTGATTGCTTCTTGAGTCAAATATACATATTTGGATTGCACTACTAAGTTGGTTCTATTTGGTGTTGGTTTTAGTTCCGCAAGAACTACAAGAATGTGAGACGAGAAGTGTGAGCGTGTGAGGATATTAAAAGTGTTTGAGCGAAACACGAGCGACGTGAGTATATTTTTTTACCACTAACCAATTTTTACAGGTATTATCTTGTCAAATCAAAATAACACACCACCTCTTCCCAAGGGAGATCTTAAGTTTCAAATGTAAGCCATGACACAAATGATGGAGAGGATCAATTTTGTGATGGGAAACGTGTGTGACAAACTTGATAGGGTGGAGAGATATAGTAATGAGGGTAGTATAAACAGCCAAGACATGAAGAAGGTTGGGGCTGAATTGAAAGCAAATAGTGGCAATAGGGTCGAAAGGCCAAGGTGAGTTGATAAGAGGAGATCCAATATGAGTAATGAAGAGAAATGAAGGTTATGAGTTTCAAATATTTATGCTTAAAATGCTTTTATTATGTTAGGTAAAGAGCACGAGGTTGAATGACTTATAAAGGTTTATAAAGAAACAAATAAAGAATGTGAAAAGTGAAGAACTTTAATTCAGCGTTAAAGGGATAACAAACGAAAGAGGATAGAATGGTTATCATTAAAAGATTTACACGTAAGTAAATGGGAAGACATTCTTATTTGAAATTATTATCGGCATCTACATTCATATAATATTGTTACAGGCAGTTGTGTGAAAGAAAAGAACTCAAATGAATGAAATAAAAGGCTAAGGAATTGTCCATCAAACATGTTGGTGATTCGAGGAAATGATACAATTAAAATAAGGTGAGATTCAGATTTTGACATAAAATTTTCTATTGTCCAGTTTTACGCTATTAAGCATAACTCTAAAATCAACTGTTAGATCGAGTTGAAATTTGACATGAAGATTCCAGAGATATTGGTCTATATTGGGGTAAAGTTTCAAATGAATTGGAGTTCAGGAAGAATATGCAATATATTTCAGAATAGACTATATGAATTTTGTTATTTATTTCCTTTTAACTTCTGGACTTTTTATTTGGCTAGAATTCTTTTTCTCCAAGGATGTGACAGCTTGTTTTGAGAATCTCCTAGTTCTACATGGATCTTTAATGGGATGTAGTATAGTTTTTAAGTGTAGCAAGGATTCATAAATGTTTAAGAATTATTTTCTTATAAGGATTCTTTATTCATCCCAACTACAACAAGAAAAGAAGACTTCATAATTAATTTTACCTTCAATTAGATTTTCTAGTTTATTTGAAACTTTTTAAAGGTGACAAATTAAAAGGGTTGAAATTGATTTTTTTTAATTTTATAGATTATTTAAAATAATTAAAGAAAAAAAACCCAGAAGTGAAAAAAAAAAATTAATGAAGAGGCTGTTCTGAACGGATATTCATAGGCTGATGTCTTGTATAGCAATATATGTCAACTAAACCAGTGTATCTGTGCCATCATCCGTGACTTTGTTTTCTTCTTCCTCAACGAACGGATGAAGATTTCCATTTGGATAATAGTGTTGGATCACCAAAACGGATGCTGTATTGGAGAAGTTGGAGGATGCCAAAATGCTTCCAACAGGACCCAGTTCTGGAGTGTCGGTTGAGATCAACAGAGGAGCTATGGGTGGCATTCTTCCTACCATGAAGAGATTGCTCTTGCTCATTGATTTCAATGCTGCAACAACGTCTGCCTTACTCTCTACCACTCTTTCCTCATGTGTCACTGAATCTTGCAGCTGTTTGGCAGCATGCTGGACGAATTCAGAGAAGAAGATCTCGCTATCAGCCTGGCTGTTAGAATTTTTGTCATTCTCAACCCTGTTCACATTGGTATCGTGGCCTTCTAATGTCAATAGCGTCTTCCCTGATGCGGGCACAAACTTAAGGACCGTAAGCATGATTCCAGGGTGCTCCGCCATTCTCATCCCGTAGGCTAGAGCTTCCATGTCGTCACTACCTCCAAAGAAAGGGACTACAATCTTGGAGGACACATCACTGGCCGAGACTTGGGTGGTGCCTCCGAAGCCACGGTCAATGAGAATACCAACAGAACATGGAGAATGACGGAGGACGCGCTGGTTTACCTCCTGCAGCGAATGCCCCAAAGACTCCAAGCTTCCGTCCACTCTCTGGTGCTTGTGGAATGGGAGGAGAATCATGGCAGCACGCTTTTGGTGTGCGCTGGTGCAGATGTCCTCGTAGATAGTGTTGAGAGCAGAGATGGCAGTCATGGGACGGATGGTGACACTGCTGAGTTGCTGATAAGCTTCAAAAGCAATCACCATTTGATCTCTATCATCACGTTTCTTGTTCCAAAAAGGGAGTCCATTTTTGCGGGCTTTATGAACCATTGAAATTGCAGATGATCGCTCTGAAAGTTCCATGAGGTGCATGGCATACACGCAGAGGCGTCCTCGCTGCCGTGTTCCTCGGGAACACTCCACAAGGTTGATCATAGTAGGAATATTGCGGCTGCTATGGAAGCAGGCCAGCAGTCGAAGCTCTGTGTCAAGATCCTTGCGTTTGACAGTACGGTTCTTGTAAGGCGCTCCCTTTCTAGCAGGCTTATACACGGCCATCACGATTGGCGTAGTGATGAAGGTGGTGAACAGCGCCATTAAAACTAAAACGGCAAAAGTCTGATCATTGAGCACCTGCATAAGACACAAGCGCTACGAATTCTGAGTGATGCTGCCTAGAGCTAGCTAGCTAGCTAGCTAAGCAATGAACATGAGTACTTGCCTTGCGATCCTTGCCGATATTGAGGACAATGAGCTCCACCAAGCCTTTGGTGTTCATTAGGAATCCAAGAGCCGCAGCTTCTCTAAAGGGCACCTTAAAAAACATCCTTGACACAATCAATGTCCCAATTATCTTACCGAAACAAGCCGTGGCAATTACGAGCACAAGCAAGCCCCAAGATTGTGCTCCACTTATGGTTGCAACGTTGGTCTTGAGCCCGCTGGATGCGAAATAGAGTGGCAGAAAGAGCCCCGCCACAAGATCCTCTATCTTCTCTATAAGAACCCGAAGCTTGAGTTCCGCCAAAAAACGGGCCAGGACTGGGAAAGCGGTGATGGAGAGAGAGACGCCCATGAAGACAAGGAAAGGGGCGTGAGCGCTTCCTTTGGATATGGTGGAACGAAGAACAAATGAGGTGCCGATTCCTAAAAGGAAAGGAAGGGTGATGCCAGCGCCGGCTATTGCCAAGGACTTCTTTCCAGTGCGACGAATGGATCGAATGTCAAGCTCTAAACCCACCAAAAACAAGAAGAAAAGGAGACCGATGTTGGCGACCGTGTCCAGGACAGTCATGCTCTTGGGTGGGAACACCGTGTGAAGAAATCTCTCGCTTCTTCCCAAAGCAGATGGTCCAAGCAGTATTCCTCCCTGCAAAAATTTCTCAACTCCTTTTATCGAAGAACAAAGTCGTTGATATATGAAAGACAAGATCACGTGCACGATGATGATGGTATTCAAGAGCAGAAACTTACAATGATCTCAGCAATGACTCTGGGTTGCCTGAGGGGTTTGTGAAGGAATGCAAGGGTCCTTGTAAAAGCGACGACCAAACATATCTGAAGGATCAACAAAGGAAGCGCATAATCTAATGGATTCTCATGCTGAAACGCTCCATTTGACGTTGCCTTCATAGGCTTTGGCAATGCAGCTGTTACATTAATTGTGTTGGTGGCCATATTCTCACACGAACTCCGGACAAAAACCGGCCCCCCAAAAATTTCCCAAGTCTAGAATGGATTCCAGAAGCATACAGAGCTCAAAATATTATGAATAGGTTGTATTGTTGTTCTTCGTATTATTATTTTCGAAATGCTGGAAAAAAATGATGTGGGGTGAGGTTAGTACTGGATAAAAGAAAAATTGATAAGAACACATCAAGAATCAAATTGCTACATGCGAACTTGCTTTGAATATTGGCATACATGCATCCTTCCAGTGATATTGTATGGTTTGGTTACCCGTATTAAATTAAGATTTGGACCCTCTTCTAAATCAAATTATTTATTCCTAATTTCTTTTAAAAAAAAATATCAATCTCAATATTTGATTTTTTAATAAATAAATAAATAACAACAACTAAAAAATTATAATTTTCCTTAAAAATCCGCCTGCATCCATTCTAATATCAACATCAAGCATTTTTAACACTCATAGTAACCTTGCAATCTTCGGTCTCTATAATACTATTTTTATTTAACGATAAGAAGTATATTTAGATTAGCTTGCATCTTAATTAAAATTAATTTTCTAAAATGATTTTAAAAACCTTTTTATATATTCAAACAAATGTACTCTAATTTGAAACAAATTAGAGTTTTGATCCTTTTTCACTTGCTTTTGTCGGTAATCAGTATATATATATATATATATATATATATATATAGAGAGAGAGAGAGAGAGAGAGAGAGAGAGAAACCTTTAGGATAGTGGAATGAACTTGTGGGGATTGGCGAAATTAATTGGTTTCATTTTCTATCCAAAAAAAAACAAATGGAATAAAGATTTGGAAGCCTTAATTATATATCTTAATGAATAAAAAGCATATAAAAACAAAAGTGCAAAGCATTATCTTGTGTTATAAAACAATAACACAAAAGAGAATTTTGTTCTTAAAGCTTCTCATTAGATTATTTTCTTAATTTGTTTTCTTCTTTGATTTCTTACCAATCATAATCAATTATTTCTTACTAACATAAATGGAAGTCCAAAAATATGATATGTAGGGCCTTTAGATTTTTTATTGGTAAATTATTTTCTTTGAAAACTGAGATTTTTTTATGTGGATGATCTTGATTTCTTACTAATCATAATTATATTTTTTGAAAAGCATAATAAATTATGTTTTCATGATTTTTTTCCTTCGATTACTTGGAAGCATACTAAATTAATTTGATTTTATACTGATCATAATAAATTATTTCTTACTAATATAGATGGAAGTTTAAGAATATGATTAATATTTATTAGGTCTATAGAATTCTCTTTTTTCGGTAAATTATTTTTTTTGGAAACTGGAATTTTTTATGTGGGTAATCTTTGATTTCATATTAATCATAATTACATTATTTGAAAAGCATAATAAATTAATTTATATTCAATGCTTTTTAAAAAAAAAATTATGTTCGATTATTTGGAAGCATAATAAATTATTTTGATTTCATATTAATCATAATTACATTATTTGAAAAGCATAATAAATTAATTTATATTCAATGCTTTTTAAAAAAAAAATTATGTTCGATTATTTGGAAGCATAATAAATTATTTTGATTTCATATTAATCATAATTACATTATTTGAAAAGCATAATAAATTAATTTATATTCAATGCTTTTTTAAAAAAAATATCTTCGATTATTTGGAAGCATAATAAATTATTTTGATTTCTTACTAATCATAATAAATTATTTATTACTAATACAGATGGAAGTTTAAGAATATGATCTATAGGGCCTATAAAAAAAAAATTCGGTAAATTATTTTCTATGAAAACTGGGATTTTTTTATGTGAGTGATAAGTTTAAAAGTCATAAGAAGTTTCTAATCCATGATTTTCTTTTCTTTTCTTTTATTCTTTTATTATTAGGAAGAATAATAAATTATTTTGATTTATTACTAATATAGAATGAAGTATAAGGCCTTTAGAATTCTGGGTTTTTTTCTTGGGAAATTATTTTCTTTGGAAACTGTGATTTTTTATGTGATTTCTTATATACTAATCATAATTACAATCTTTGGAAAGCATAATAAATTTTTATTTATATGATTTTCTTAACTTTTTTTTTTCTTTTTTTATTACTTGGATCTTCGTCTAAATTAAGATTTGGCTACCCATATTAAACCTACCTTTTCCGACCATTCAAGTCAAAGCTGGAAGATGATATGGCATATTAGTTTATGGAGTCAATATAAAATGTCAGTAATTACAACCTGAAAACCATGAAATTTCTCAAGATATGTAATATACTAGTCAATAATATCTGAATTCACATCCAACTACAAGGAAGTTGGGAATTTAATTCATAATCACTGGTTATTTATTAGAGTTGATCAGAATGAATGATTTTAAAAAAAAAATATTACTTTAGTTCATATATAAATATCTAATAGGATAGTGGAATGAACTTGTGGGGATTGGCGAAATTAATTGGTTTCATTTTCTATCCAAAAAAAAACAAATGGAATAAAGATTTGGAAGCCTTAATTATATATCTTAATGAATAAAAAGCATATAAAAACAAAAGTGCAAAGCATTATCTTGTGTTATAAAACAATAACACAAAAGAGAATTTTGTTCTTAAAGCTTCTCATTAGATTATTTTCTTAATTTGTTTTCTTCTTTGATTTCTTACCAATCGTAATCAATTATTTCTTACTAACATAAATGGAAGTCCAAAAATATGATATGTAGGGCCTTTAGATTTTTTATTGGTAAATTATTTTCTTTGAAAACTGAGATTTTTTTATGTCGATGATCTTGATTTCTTACTAATCATAATTATATTTTTTGAAAAGCATAATAAATTATGTTTTCATGATTTTTTTCCTTCGATTACTTGGAAGCATACTAAATTAATTTGATTTTATACTGATCATAATAAATTATTTCTTACTAATACAGATGGAAGTTTAAGAATATGATTAATATTTATTGGGTCTATAGAATTCTCTTTTTTCGGTAAATTTTTTTTTTTTTTGGAAACTGGAATTTTTTATGTGGGTAATCTTGATTTCATACTAATCATAATTACATTATTTGAAAAGCATAATAAATTAATTTATATTCAATGCTTTTTTAAAAAAAATATCTTCGATTATTTGGAAGCATAATAAATTATTTTGATTTAGTACTAATCATAATTACATTATTGGAAAAGCATAATAAATTATTTATTACTAATACAGATGGAAGTTTAAGAATATGATCTATAGGGCCTATAAAAAAAAAATTCGGTAAATTATTTTCTATGAAAACTGGGATTTTTTTATGTGAGTGATAAGTTTAAAAGTCATAAGAAGTTTCTAATCCATGATTTTCTTTTCTTTTCTTTTATTCTTTTATTATTAGGAAGAATAATAAATTATTTTGATTTATTACTAATATAGAATGAAGTATAAGGCCTTTAGAATTCTGGGTTTTTTTCTTGGGAAATTATTTTCTTTGGAAACTGTGATTTTTTATGTGATTTCTTATATACTAATCATAATTACAATCTTTGGAAAGCATAATAAATTTTTATTTATATGATTTTCTTAACTTTTTTTTTTCTTTTTTTATTACTTGGATCTTCGTCTAAATTAAGATTTGGCTACCCATATTAAACCTACCTTTTCCGACCATTCAAGTCAAAGCTGGAAGATGATATGGCATATTAGTTTATGGAGTCAATATAAAATGTCAGTAATTACAACCTGAAAACCATGAAATTTCTCAAGATATGTAATATACTAGTCAATAATATCTGAATTCACATCCAACTACAAGGAAGTTGGGAATTTAATTCATAATCACTGGTTATTTATTAGAGTTGATCAGAATGAATGATTTTAAAAAAAAAATATTACTTTAGTTCATATATAAATATCTAAAATATTTATTTATTAGAGGATGAGGAGGTATTATCGAATTGAATTCAAAATGGATATGATGATATTATATAAACATATACTATAGGTAAATTATTTATAATTTTATTGTTGAATATACATATAAAGACATAATTGAAATATATATTAAAATCATATATATATATATATAGATGATGGTTCAGTTTTCAAGTGCTTTTCTTTTCTTGGTCATGTAGCGTTTCCTTGAGTTGGAGATATCAGAGTCAAGTTCGATGACTGCATCAATTGATTTTGGGTTCATGAACTTGTCATTATCAACTATAGCAAAATTTTTGTCGTGTAGTTTTCTATATATTGTCATTTCTATCTTTGGCATAAAAGAGAGGAGAAAAATCATGTTCAAAAGTCACGATATTGATTGCTTTTGTAGTGCAATCAAACTTTTCTCTTCCTTTTTTTTTTGTATTATTCTTAGATTTATTCTTTACTTGTTAGGTAGAGTTTCTAATCATTGATTTATTGCCCTAAAAATCTAGCAAAGAGACGAAATCAAAGACTAGAACAATTTCTTCTTCTCAGTTTGTCCTCAAAGGACTCTTGCCTTGTTTGATTGTGATGCAGAAGATAAATGATGTATGGGACTAAGAGAAAGGGTGGTTGAAAAATGCAGACAGGAATCCAAAATTAGAAATAAAAAAACTCGCAAAGCTCTTTTTTTTTTTTTTTAGATTAACGTGGGTGTCCAAGCCATCTTGCACGCCCTACGACTAATCTCACGAGCCCTGAAGTTAACGATCATATAAGCCTCCAATGACTATTATATAAGTAATCAAGAACTCAAATATGAAACTACATAGAGAAAAAAAAATCCTTTTTTTCTTACATACGACACTTATACATGATGAAGAAAAACTTGATTCAACCACCACTGCATATAAGAAAAAAGGGCTTTGCGAGTTTACATTGTTGATTTGGGGCTAAAGAAATCAACATTTCGGTGGGGGCACATACTTTTGTAACCCAATTTTTCACCCTATGTTTGTATACATTTAAAAAAAAAGGTCAAAAAAATTGTCTTTTCAATAAATTTAGTTAATTTTAATTATTTT